GATTAAGTGAAGGTGGTTTGGGTTATATAATTTTAATCATTCTCAAATCTGTATAGCTAGATTTTTACTATATAATAGCTTTAAGAAGTAATAATAAAAATGTTCAAAAATGAAAATATACTATATATGTGTTGTCAACAAAATAATTTATACTATATACTTATTCTTTTTTTTTGACAGAAAATACTATATATACTTATTCAAAATTGTCCTTTTCATATGTCATTACTATAGAAAATCTTCAAAGTTTATCGAAGTCATTAATTGCATATTGCCAAATTTGAGTTTCCATTTAAAAACCATTGAATAACTTATGATTTCACTGGAAGTTTGAATATTGATTGACGAACATAAGATTATGATTATATTAGTTGACCAAAAGAAAAGATTATGATTATGTTTAACTCTTCAAATCGATGCTGTGTGGAATTGTGAACGTAGAGACGATGAATCTTGTTGCTCTGCTACTCCTTACAATATCACACCTTTTCATTGTTCCATGTGTAGAAGCAGGCCAAGTCATTTTGGTTGATTCCAACAATAACACTCGCTCTTTTGTCGACATGGAAGCTAGCTTCTGTGAGTGTCTCTCTCAATCCTTTGTTACGTCTTTGTCCGTTTAGCAATTTTGGATTTGTTTATATGTTTTCAGTGAGTAGGGTAATATTTATTCTAGTTAAAAAATTTGTTGATCGTGATGAAGTTCCATGTTGCAGCTCCATTAGTGAATACGGTGAAGGCCGGAGTGGTTTACGTGGCTGAGCCTCTCGACGCTTGCGGAAACATGAGGAATAAACCGGAGCAGAGAGCTAATGGTACTTCCCCTTTTGTGTTGATCAGAAGAGGAGGCTGCAGTTTTGAGTACAAAGTCAGAAATGCGCAAAGAAGCGGTTTCAAGGCTGCCATTGTCTATGACAATGTGGACAGCAATTTCTTATTCCCAAGTAAACTCATGCCTCTCTATGTGTATTGTATGCTAGGTATAAAAAAAGTCTCTAAATCTTGAATCGATGCTATAAATCTTGATTTTGGAATTCTTTTTTTAAGTGGGAGGAGACTCGGACGGGATACAGATTCAAGCGGTTTTTGTGAGGAATGCAGCAGGAGAAACTCTCAAGAAGTACGCTGGTTTGGCGGAAACTGAAGTCATGTTGGTTCCTGATTCAAAGGACTCGCTGTGGTCGCTGTGCGCTACCATAGCATTGCTCTTGTCCCTGGCTATGTGTGGTGTTATGGCCGCTTGTGTCTGCGTCTATAGATGTTGCACACCACATAGCAACTCTATATCTCAATTCAATGGGATGAGCCGTGGAATGGTGAAAGAAATGCCAAGTGTTACATTCACTTGTGCGAAAGATGACACCACCACTGGCTCCTCTTGCGCTATCTGCCTTGAAGACTACAATGTTGGGGACAAGCTCAGGGTCTTACCTTGCGGCCACAGTTGAGTATATATGAGATTTAACCCTATCTCAGCTTTACAACAAAACTTCTGATTCTATGATTCTAATGGTGTTTTTTTCAGAGTTTCATGTCGCTTGCGTAGACTCGTGGCTTATATCATGGAGAACGTTTTGTCCAGTGTGCAAACGGGATGCAAAAAGGAGCACAGATGAGCCACCAGCCACAGAGAGAACACCGTTGCTCAGCTCTTCAATTGCATCATCATCTGTAGTGTGTATAGACCCTCCTCCTTTGGGATCCTCAGTTTCTTTCTCTCCAACACATGTGAGCTCGTCCTACATTCAACAATTTGTCAGGTTGTCCTCTCACCGCAGCCAGCCTTCCCCAATAAATGTCAGTCGTATCTCTGAGAATCTCAGGCGACAAGCCTCACCATTGCAGTCATCATCACAGGGATCATACATGTGTATGAAGTCTTTACATTCACTTGGTTATTCGACTATGTCCCCTCTCAACGCTATCGACAGGTCACCATACCGGCCATACCCAAGCAATGCATCTCCTGGATTAGTCAGTTCGAGAAATCATCCGCGTTGCAATTATACAGCAAATACATTCTCCCCTTTTGCCTCTACACACTCGCTTCCAGACTGTTAGACCGAGCTTGCAACAGACACATAGAAGAATCTGTCTCTCTAGGTGCGGTCCAGTCCGCTTTGGTTCATGTAGGATTTTTATGCTTTTGGATGTCAAGAATAACATCTGATGATGATTTGATATGTATACACCTCGATTTATGTTTGTTATCATTCTTTCAATTTTTTTTGCTCGAATCTGTTTTGTTACATAAAAAACACATAGCTAAACTGCTAGAGATGAGCCTATGACTGATAAAGAATTTGCCAAAATGTTGAGACATCTGAATTTTGACTTTTGACTAATCTACAATGTTAGCAGGTTTAATAAGACTACAGAGCACAACTAGCCACTAGATTCTGAAGTCACTCTGTCCTTTGTCGTTTTGCTTTGATTTCTCTCATCCAATCCTTGCATTCCTCTGAGGTGCCGTTGGGGTTAGCCAGCTGCCATGTGAGCAGTTTCTGTTGCTGTAAAATAGAGCAATTGACATTAGGTAATAGAGATAAGCAAGACATGATCAATGATTCAACAATTAGAGATTACTTTAATATCACACCTTATGGATCTAGTTTAAGTCTGAGTTTGCCTAGCATTACAAGTAACAGTTTCATATAGCCACATGTGGAAAGCAGGATATGATAGATATTTCAGGAAGGTGATTTGCATGGTTTTGCAGGACTAGTCACAGCTAAAGACAATATCTACAAGTTATTGATATTGATAATATAGTGATCAAAGACACAGAAACAGAGGCATGCAAGAGACTATATCTACAAGTTCAATTTCTACTGAGCACAACTCCAACAGGGATCTAGGACGACAAAAATTTGTTCTGAATCCTCAGAGAATGAGGATTGGGGAATCAATGAAAAGAGAGGAAGCCTTACCCATACACGGATGAGAGATCCTCCCTTCAGCTCTGCAATTTGCATGATCTCCCTGCCATTCACCAGAGGTTTAACATCCCAGATGTTATCAAGACCTGTTATGTTAAGAAAGAAACACTGTTACGTATATGGAATGGTTAGCACATTGACAGATGCAGTTCAAATGATAGAAGCATGAGTTTAAAAATGATTTTCTCTTCAACCCTACTTGTTCAACTTTTTTTAAGTCAGAAAGATTTCTATATGTGGGATATATATAAACAGGAATTTTCAAATCAGCTTTTCATGTTCTTAGTTCTACTAGTTTGAGTTTGGTAATAAAAAAAAGTGGGAGCCTTAATAACCATTCACAGCCTAGCTTCTTCTACCTCCTCTTAGAAATGTCTATCTTACATGCTATCATTTATCAAACATTCCAACGTTTACCTAGTTCATGGATAGTTGCCTCAACTGTTAGATAAGTTTCTCGCATCTTCTCCAGTTGGAAGTCCAATTGCCCAATTTCTTGATCGTCCACCGTAGCAGACAACAACAAAGAAGTTAAGAGAGCAACATGCCAGAAGTCTTTAATATCCCTAAGTAAAAACCCTGAAATAGTTATAAAACAGAACATTTTAGTTATATACAGTACATATGGTCAGATATGATATCTTCATTATACACCACAAGTTCAGATATAATAAGTTCACTATACATATGTTCAGCTATAAAATGTTCATTATACTCGTCGTTTAAACAATTATCAATGACACAGATTAACTAATATATATCAGTAATTTTCTTTATCTTCTTACGTTTATAAGGTGGGAGTAATAAAATACTACAAAGGCTATAGAGGAGAACCTGTGAGTACTCTTATTTTCGAAGTTGCTGGGACCACTGCATCATTGTGGGGGAGGGACTTCCAATGCTCAAGAGTATCAGCGGCCCAATCAAGCTTGTCCAGTCCTACATCGTTCTTCGTCTCAAGGGGACAAATCAACGGTCGAAATCTTTCTGCGGTCTGATGTATATTCATAACCTAGAGAAGATGGAATTCATTATCATGATAATAATGAATCTGTTAAGTTGTCTAGCAGTCAAACTTAAAAAAGGTATGGTAAAACAAGATACACTGCAATTGAACATCACATTCACACCTATAATCTAATGTCACAGGTGAAGGCTCTGATTGTACAAAGTTAATTGGTTTTTTCCGTTATTGCCAGAGAAAACAACACAAGTAATGCCATATAGTTCGTTAGTTACTGATTTTACGGCCTAACATATTAAACATTAATAATCAGAACTCACGGTTTCAGCATCACTGGTCTTGCGCTTCATGGAGAATTTGAATATGTGGTTGACAACAGGAATCTGAAAAAGTTAAAAAGAGCTCAAGGTTTGTTGGTTTAGACAACCAAAAACAGATTATTTAACCCTAGAAAAGATGACAAAATATATAAGGGAAAGCATACCGATTTACCCTTGTTGTCTTTGTAAATGGTTTTCCTGAAGGGGAGAAACATAGCAGCATACAGAGCAAGCCGTGTTTGTTCACCCTAAAACAAAATGATAGGACACCAATCAAATCTAATTGAATATCAAAAGATAAGGAACTCAATCTTTAGCAGTTACATAAGAAGCGAACGCCCCAGAATAATGACTCACACTGAAGTTTCCTATCCCAGGTGTTTGAAGCAGTCTCCACATAGCTTCCAAGTAGGCTTGGGAGAGGCTAAAATAGCAGACATGTGAGTGAGTTTTGCAAAATATGAATAGCAGTGTCACAAGACCAGGTTTGCAAAGTTAGAGTTTTAAGAATATAGTTGAGATAGAACCTGCCACAATTCTCTGATGGTGAAGGCTCAGCTGAAGAGGGAAGAGCAAACACAACCCTAAATAGTTTCAACTCAGAAAGATAGGTAACCGCCGAAACTGGCCCATTCCCAGATATCATCAAATCAATCTGCACCAAAGAATCAAGTTGTGTAACGATAAACCCTAAAAGTGGAGGTCACCATAGAAACTAGCTTTCTCCGGCAAGAAGTAAGTGCAAATAAATACTTCATTCCCAATCCGCTCTCTGCTAATTTTCTCTCCCAGAGCTACTCTTACTTCCTCACTTGAAGCAGCTTCTTTTAGTTCTTCATCCAGAGTAAAACCAAACCTCGCACCTGTTATGGCAGTCTATTAGGAATGACAGACAAACGACAACCCAAAGCTCAAAATGGACGACCAAAAATGGGCAAGGTAATGACATATAATGAAAAAAAAACAAGAAAGAATAAACAAGTACCAAAGCGAATAGCCCGGAGAACTCGCAAAGGATCATCCAGAAATGTAGCTTTTGCAGGCAAGGGTGTAACAATTTTTCCAGACTTCAGGTCATCGATGCCTGTAATTTTATCAGTTCCTTGTAAACTATTATTTTGAACATCAAAGGGAATGAATGATGGCAACACAAGAATGCACTAACCTCTTTCAGTAAGGTCTTCTACTGAGCCAGAGTTGATGTTGTAGAATAAACTGTCAATTTAAGAAATCATACAAATGTCCCAATTTGCATTCAGATATATGGATATCATAGTTGTATTACTTCTGGTTCAAGGAGAAGATGTGTGTACCTATTTATGGTTAAATCTCTACGATAAGCATCCTCTTTTGCGGTGCCAAATTTCTGTAATAAAACAGAAAAATTTAAACTTTAAGATAAGCAGCACAAGCAATTAGGTCCTTTACATTGCAACACCAAACAACTACTATGGTTTCGATATTCAGGAATCAGGATAGGTTGTGTTATGCATTCACAGCAAACAAATACATCCAAACAACATAGGCAATGAATAAGAAGGAGTACCATTGTAGGAATACGACTATTCTCTGTGTATTCTTCACTTCTCAAGTTCACAAAATCTATCCATTGGTCATAAATGCGGAGCTTTGCTGTCTCCAAGTGTTTGGATTGGTCAGGGTTCCTGAAACCACCAACAAAATAAGCCAGTTAACATCAAAGATCTGTAGCGTATTCCTACCATGGTACTCCTTCTTATTTGGAGTCATAAGCAAGTAGAAGAGTTTCGAGACCTTTCAATAACAGTGTCGCCTTGTACTTGTTCATCTCTAGAAGATAAATATTCCTTGAACTTATCAAGAAAATCACTTCCCGACATATTATCAATAGCTATGTCAATATCATCACTCTCTTTCCCTAGAAGCTGAAAAAACAAAGATAAGTTATGGCAAATCCTCATAGTGCAACCAAAATACTCATACAGTTACATTCCAGAAACCTCAATCGCTAATAAACCAATTAATCGAATCCAAACCAGGTGACGAAGAGTACCTTATCACGGACCCAACCACCGGCGACGCGAAGCTGCGTGTCAAGGTTACAATAACGGAGAGTACTTAAAAGCCGATCGAAAATTTTCCGTTCTTTCTCATTGAGCTCAATCTTCTCCTTCAATTCGACTGAAGGAATCGATTGCTCTCCAACATTCGTCATCGCCTTCGTCGAGAACCAGTGACAACAACACAGACGAGGCGAAACCACCGGAACGCGATGAACCGATGGAGTAGGAAACGCCAAGCTCAGGGAACGAGAAGAAAAGGGAATTAGAAACCGAGGTTTTGGGAGATTTATGAGAGTGTTGATGGGAAGAGACAGTCTCATGTTCTCTTTTCTTTTTTTAATATCCGTCAGCTTTTGTAATTTCCTTTTTTTCTGATGCGGCGATTCACGACGGCAGCGTTCTGAACCGGTGGAGTGTAAGGGCCAACTCGGGTCCGTATAAGGCAGATCAATATTAGGCCCAATAATGGCCCAAGTTTAATATAAATTTGGACCGTATTTTATTCAACCATTGAAGACTTTACGTGAAATCTACGAAACCATAGATTTACGTACACGCATGCACTAGATCTTGGATACCAAAAAAAGAGAAGAAAAAATCTATCCGTTGAGGAATACGTACGTAACAAAAGAGTACAGAACACATAACTTTTCAATTGTATACAATTTGCAAAAAAATAAAATTAGCCACGAAATAGAGAGTTCAGGTTTAAGCTCCCTTTTGCAGATAGATGCAAGTTTTGTCAATTTACAGCTCAACTCAGCTCCCACCAACAAATAAGATCGGACTTCTTTGAAAGCAATAACACAAACAAAAAAATCCGGATTTTACATCGTCCACGTGAACCGCATGCACCGCCAAACTCCTCCACTGACAATGTTTTTTTTTTTGGTGGCCAAATCCATGGGCTAGTATCTTTGATAGTATCAACTTTATATAAAAAACAAAATTAGTTATATATGTATATTTATAAGATCAACTTGCAATGTAAAAATATCACCAACTATCTCAGTTTTACGCAATTATCAATTATGATTGATTATTTACAAGATAGCTAAAAGAACTTCTTTTTTTTTTTTTTAAGAACTTTTGTTTTCATGATAACCCACTAACATTAACATATATACAGCCTGAATTAACATATATACCGCCACCAACCTTTTGGATAACATTCTTATTGTACGTTAGACAACTGCTAGTCTGATACGTGGATTGATATATATAATAGCCAACGTTTTTTATATTCATGCAATTGTATTTTTTTTTTCCATGCAAATTTAGTTATCATCTTGATCAACAGTAAGAGGGAATAAAAAGAGAAGAAACTAAATGAGTAATGAAAACATCTCTTGCCTAAATTTGGAAATCGCGAATTCAACACGACCAAAGTTTATTCCCCCGTATATACTTCTTTACCAAACATATTCTATAGTTCTATACACAGATATTACATTGTCGTATATTAACAGGTAATTTCTGCATGCAACTTGGCCGATACTAAAAAAAAAATGAGTTGAACTTCACCAGAGGAGAGACTCTATGCCAATTGGGTCAACCTATCACAACATTATTACAATATACTACTCCTATTTCAACCTGAAAAGCGAAAAACAAAAATATGTATAATAAGAGGAAACAAAAATCGAGAAAAGCCGATCGAACCGGCGAAAAGACCAATGACCCAATCGATTCATATTAAGCCAAAATTAAAAAAACATGTCAGACTCAAACACACACAAAAGAAAAGAAAAAAGAAGAACGATGTCGTTTTCCTCCTCGTGAATACCACGCTCCAATCATCTTCTCGCTACGACCAAAGCCTCTAGCTTCATTCATCTCTCTCTCCCTGTCTCCACCATTACCACAGTCAATGAGAGAGAGAGAGAGAAGAAGGAAAAAAAAAACGAGAGACTTCCCACGTTCGTCGTCCTCTCTCATCTTTCCTCTATATATACTTCTTCTCTTCCTTACATTTTCCTTTTTTCTCTTCTTCTCCATCTCTCTCTCCCCCTTACACATTTCTCCACCAGCTCGGAGATTATCTCTCCGTCGTAATTAAGGTCCGTTTTTATGTTTATCTTTTTTACCTTTTCAGATCTATGTTTCCACGATACATGTACCATTCTTTTCTTTCTTTTCCTTTTTGTTACATACATAAAGAGAACACAGTACTTATGACGATTACTAATGTTTTTTAATTACTTTTTATCTAGATAAATCCAATCGTTAACATTTTTTACGTTAATGTTCCTTAATCATCATTTCCAAACAAACAAAAACAAAACGTTTTAAATTAATTTATAGTTATAACTTATATATCCTTTATTCATTCATTCCAGATCTATATACCAATGGAAGCAGTAAACTCTTCAAGCTCGATATCAGAGCTAGACGACATATCACGGTTACTTGACCGGCCGAGGCTAAATATTGAACGGAAAAGATCGTTCGATGAGAGGTCGTTCAGCGAAATGGGAATCTTCGAAACCCTTAATTCTCCCGGAGGCAGGTCCGGATGGGATACTCCGGTTTCTTCGGCTAGAAACTCGTTTGAGCCACATCCTATGGTTGCTGAGGCTTGGGATGCTTTGAGACGTTCCTTGGTTTACTTTCGTGGCCAACCCGTTGGTACTATTGCTGCTTATGACCATGCTTCTGAGGAAGTCTTGAACTATGATCAGGTTTGTTTTTTTTCTTTCTTTCTTTCTGGTATTGCTTTTTTTGTGTTTCGTAATTGAACCTTGCTCTGTTTTTTAAATGATTCTGTTTTGTGGAAAATGTTGGTTAGGTGTTCGTAAGAGACTTTGTTCCAAGCGCACTAGCTTTCCTCATGAACGGAGAGCCAGACATAGTCAAGAACTTCCTCCTCAAGACAATTCAAATCCAAGGAAGAGAGAAAAAGATCGACAGGTTCAAGCTTGGCGAAGGCGCGATGCCTGCTAGCTTCAAGATCCTTCACGATCCAATCAAGAAGACTGATACTGTCATTGCTGACTTTGGAGAGAGCGCCATTGGAAGAGTGGCTCCGGTTGACTCAGGTTTTTGGTGGATCATTCTCCTCAGAGCCTACACCAAGTCCACTGGAGACACTTCACTAGCTGAAACACCTGAATGTCAAAAGGGAATGAGACTCATTCTCTCTCTTTGCCTCTCCGAAGGCTTCGACACTTTCCCGACTTTGCTTTGCGCTGATGGCTGCTCCATGGTCGATCGGAGAATGGTAATAATAGTTCTCTCTAGACAAACTTAGGTTCGGTTTGTATTTGTGTTTAACGAAGTGAATCTTGCGTAGGGGGTTTACGGGTACCCGATAGAGATCCAAGCTCTATTCTTCATGGCTCTTCGATCAGCAATGTCGATGCTAAAACATGACACGGAAGGGAAAGAGTTCATGGAGAGGATAGTGAAGAGGCTACACGCGCTTAGCTTCCACATGAGAAGCTATTTCTGGCTCGATTTCCAGCAGCTCAACGACATCTACCGTTACAAAACAGAGGAGTACTCGCACACTGCGGTCAACAAGTTCAACGTCATCCCTGACTCGATCCCTGAGTGGGTATTCGATTTCATGCCTCTACGTGGCGGTTACTTCATAGGAAACGTTAGTCCAGCTCGTATGGACTTCAGGTGGTTCGCTCTTGGCAACTGTGTAGCGATCCTTGCTTCTTTGGCCACACCTGAGCAGTCGGCTGCGATCATGGACTTGATAGAGGAGCGGTGGGAGGAGCTGGTGGGTGAGATGCCGGTTAAGATTTGTCATCCGGCGATCGAGAGCCATGAGTGGAGGATTGTTACTGGTTGTGACCCTAAGAATACTCGTTGGAGTTACCATAACGGAGGTTCTTGGCCAGGTGAATTTTCTCTTCCTTTCTTTCTTGAATTTGCACTAAGCCAATTTTTTATACTAACAAAATTAAAAAAAGAATGTGTTAACAAAGGGTGAAAAATTACTTTTATGATTTATAAAGTTGGAAACAAAATCATTGTAGAAAAAAAAAAACAAATGCTTCTTTGCCGAAAGTGTTTTCAGTAGTCAAAGATTCCTACTTGTATAAATTGATTAGTTGTCCTATTTACTTTATGTACGGCTAATCATTGTTCTTGTTTTGTTCTGTCGGATTAACTTTCTTCGGCGCAGTGTTGTTGTGGCTATTAACAGCTGCGTGCATAAAGACGGGACGGCCACAGATAGCGAGGCGGGCAATTGACCTGGCGGAGGCAAGGCTGTTGAAGGACGGTTGGCCGGAGTACTACGACGGCAAATCGGGAAGGTTCATCGGAAAACAGGCGAGGAAGTATCAGACATGGTCCATCGCCGGTTACTTGGTAGCCAAGATGATGTTGGAAGATCCTTCTCATCTTGGAATGATCTCATTGGAAGAAGATAAACAGACCAAACCTGTCATTAAGAGATCCTATTCTTGGACTTGTTAATTTGTTGTCCATTCTTTGAGAAGAAATATTCGCCTAAAATTTTGTTTTATTAAAGTTCACGAAATTTGTATTATCGTTTTTTTTTCTTCTTTTAGTGATAAAGTGATAACCTTCTTCTTTTCACATAATTTATATCTTATTTTCTCTTTGGCTGGTTACCTCATATTTTTCGCCTTACAAAGGCCAATATAGTTTGTAGAAAACAAGTGATACTGTTTATATACTTGGACATAATTCAGTATTTCAAATAAAGATGGTTTAACTTCTATGTTTGTTAACAAATTAACAACAAGCTTGTAGATAAGTGAATGGCTATTGGATCATCAAATAAAGGAGCCATGAAATGTACTTATTGTTTGTTTAGAGAAGTCATTACCTTAATTAAGTGGAAAAACAAATTTACAAAACAAAAAAAAAGAAGAAATATTGGAAATAAACTAAGACTGACAAGATGTAGCTCTCGGTCATCTGCAAGGGGCAAATGTAGCAATCATGGCGATAGCACATAATGTGATGGTTGGTGCAGCAAGGATCCATGACTCAGAGTTGATTAAACTAGGAACTAACAGTACTTTGGCATTATGGCCCAAAGCAGCGTACGTGTTAAGTTTTTCCTCCGTTTGCTTTGGTCGAGAAAACTAGATGAATTATCGAGTTATTTACCTCAGGAAAACATGAGTTTACTTGGTGTCAAGATGTCGCGGTGCACATCATCATGAACTAAGGCAGCTTTGAAACCAGCTAACTCTGCGTTTCTGAGTTTCTCCTCAAAACTGCATCCTCCTCTTACTATCAACACGAAAGGAGAAGTACCGTTAACGCTATTATGCTCTAGTTTATTGCTCAAATTTTGGCAAGCATCGAGTGGCTCGGCCATGAAAAGCACTCCGTTTAGCCCAGTTGAGTTCAGTATATAACAGCATAACGGGAAGGCGTGCACTAAATAAAACGATCCTTTTCTTTTTACATCTCAAGAGTAAAAAAGCAGCACCAGATGATAGATGTTCCTAAACAACAAAACTTTGCCTTATGACAGGTAGATTACCTAATGACATTCATTAATCAATCTCTAGCGATCCTTAAGCCGAGAAAAATCAGGATCAGCGGATGGTGGTGAAAACGATAATCATGAGGACGGTGATCTGGTCATAAGCGACATCGCCTTTCTTAAATCTAAAGATTGTAGGGCAGCTCCCGGGAAATGATTACCGTCTGATGGTATCCAAAGATCCCCATTATGTGGCATCAACACCTGAGGTGGGCTTGAGTCGCTTCCATTGCCTTTTTCTGGTGATGTTTCTTGCTTCTGTTTCACAAATTCAAAGAACTCTGCAACCTGGCGTGCATACCTTTTGATAAAAGCCAATTAAGAGAAAGCTGTTTGAGTAAGGAATTTGGGAAACTTTGAAGTGTTAGTTTTGAGTAAACGTAACTGAGAACTTACTGTCTCTTTGCTTCAATGTCTCTGCTAAAGTCGATATTGGGTTCACAGTCAAGTACCAATGCAGGAACCTGTGAAATCAATCAACCCGTCTAAGCAAATAAAATCTCCAGAATCCATGAACTAGTCTAAGCACTATAGAGTGAATTTACCTTCTGGATGCTAGAATGCATATGGTTTCCTTCCAAGTAAAACACGCGATCCCTTATATCAGGATGAAGAGCGTTGTCCATGTGAACAGGTGGTTTACTAACAGAGAATGTACCATGGTTCCCGCTCTCAAACGGAAGGAGCCAGCTCTCATGCTTCTCATGAAGATCTTGGAGGTACTTTAACGAGACTCCACCTTCTTCCTCCCGTTTCCTTAACATCATCCGCTTGTGACAAGTGTCGGGACTCGCCCTCAAGTAAATGAACCCATCAGGAACAAGTCCTGGTAAACAAGAAACCACAGGATCGAACCAAGAATCATATATGCTTATCTCCATCTCGTTCATCCATTTCGCTTCATGAACAGCTCGTACAAACACCTAATATCAATATTAAAAAAAAACATCACTTTCCTATAGTCTTTCTCCTAAAAATGTCTCTAATCTCCAAGAAGAATTTACCATTCGGTCACTAAACACAGAACGCTCCATCAACCGAAGAGGTTTGATCCCAGAGGAAGACTCTTTCTCCTGCATCAGCCGAGTGACAAACACATAGTTCTGGAAAGTATAAGCATACCTCTCAGGCTCAGCATAGAAAGCATCTAAGATATTAAAATGGTCAGGTCCAACATCCTGCCATTTATCAATAGGTTCAGGAACAATCTCAACAAGGTCACGAAGCTCAATGGTTTCATTAGCTATTCTCTGAAGAAACGTAGTCTTCCCAACACTAATGTTCCCTTCAACACAGAAGGTCAAACGTTTCTTAGGAATTGGCTTAGTCTCAGAAGAATCCTTGAGTTCTTCCTCGTCCACGCTTTGTTTGATGAACGTTGTTATGCTCTCGGCGTGGTTCCGATGTTTAATCCCAACAGAGCTTTGAAGATACTCAACCATTTTCTGACTAGCTTCCCAAAACTGAGAGAATCAAACCAAAAATTGTAACACTCAATTGAAACACAAAGCTTTTTCCAAATTTTGTATACAATACCTTATCTTTGTACAATTGCTTGAGCTCTGCAACACCTTCAATTCCATTTTCAACGAGCTTTCTCTGATTCCTCGGACCAACTCCTGGAATTTTCAACAAATCTGGATTACGAACCAATCCTCCACCACCGCCGTTAGAACTCCGATATCTACGATTGGTTCTCGTCGGCTTACTCGGAGAATCTTTCTCCTCCGCGTCTTGGGAACCCGAATTGAACCATTTGGACTTCGTTCCGGTTCGTCTAACCCAAGCTCGAGTTCCACTATCGTCAATTGAGCATCGGCAAGTCGCGAATCGAACCGACGGCGGCGAATTAGGGATAAGGTTTTGGTACGAATACGCCGAGAAAGCAGCACTGGGCGTAGTAGAGAAACAAATTGTAGTAATCTGCTGCATTGAATAGGTAGAGAAATTGAACGGAGACGATGATAAGGTTTTTGGCCGGAGCTATTAAAACCCCTCTGGGAAAGGAAGAAGGTTTAGAAGGCTTAGCCGGAGTGGAGGAGAGAAGAGGGATTGAACAAGTGTTGCTCCGTCGTAGAATCTTCTTTGAGCATTTCTCCTTGAAACTCGGAAAAAATAGAGAAATGGATAAGATAAAACCCTAGTTTCAAGATAGTTCTGAGTCTTGTGACTTGTGAGTGAGGCAAGAAGATGAAAATTTAAAAATTAGGGTTTTGTTGGTGTTTGGTGTTGCTGTTTATGTCTTATAGATACAGAGGAAGAAGAAGGAGAGTGAATTTAGCGATAGGGGTTTGATTCGGCGGGGGAATACAGAAAAAGTAACATCATCGTTAAACGCACTTTAAAGCTTACGTTAATGTTTAATTTATTAGGATATACCCGTCATAACTTGATATATTTGTTTGGTTGATCATTTTCGTACTTGGTATATATAGTCTAGTTTTATAAGTGTGTATTTTATTTTAATTTTATATAATTTTTTGAATTTATATTATAAGTAGATTAATAGATATATATGGTCAACCCGCGATATACCGCGAGACAATTTTGTTGTAAATAAAATTTTTTATTTTAACTTAACCCGTAAAAGATTTTAAATATAGACAATCCGTAATAAAAAATATAATCATATTTATGTATACTTAAACCCATTCAATCATATTTACGTACAATTTTATTATATTTTTAGAGTTCAAATATTAATAATACTTTAAAATTTTGTAGAGTTCAATTTTTTAATATTTTAAATATTCTATAAAACTTAAATCAAATATTATAATTTTCAGCTTTTAAAATTTTTAATATTTATAATACTTTCAAATTTTAAAAAATAAAATAAAATTTATAATATTTTGAAACCTTTTAAAAGTTTTATTTCTCTTAAATAAGGAACCATATTAAACCGAATAAAATTTTTAATTTGGATAACTGAGAAATCAAAGTTCATGTTCATTTGTAGTGGTGAACATATTAGTTGTATTTATAATGGTTTGAACTATAATCTAAAAATTTATACTTTATGTAGATGTTATACATATATTTTCCTTTATCGATTGAGTTATATATATGCGTCCGTTTTCTAAAATTTAAATTGCAAAATGTGTAGAAAAAAATTTGTATTTTTATTATAATTTATTTTATGTAATAATATAAATTAAAAACAAATAAGATTATATAAATATATTGGAGAGAGATTCGATTTATTAAAGAGAGAGTTTAGGAAAAAATTTGATGTAATAAATATTTGTTTCCATTTTTGCGATTTGCTTGTGAGTTAATTACAAAATTTAATTTTAAGTTTTGTTATTTATTCAAATGGTAAGGGTTTGATTATGTAAATAATACAAAATAAAAGGTTATAATCCAAATTAGATTTTAGGACAAAATGTATTTCAAAAATGTTAAGATAGATGTGGTAATGATATGATTTGAATTTTTTCTGTAATTAGAATATGATAAGGTAGGAATCGTGTTATTGGGCCTTTATTTAGTAGATTAATTTACCAACCCAATGGGCTTTTATCTACAAATCCGTTATTGTAACAGGATTGACATGTAAATCCGTTATGACATGCAAATTGGCTAACATGCAATGAATGTAAACATAATTCCTCTGTTTTCGATTATATTATTTGATTTTTTTTGTTTCTTCAAAGTTTTTTGATACTATATCTTAAAAACATTTGAATGAGTATTGGCTTATTGGTTAAAAAAGTTTCTGCTTATTCATCCTAAGTATAAAACCAAAATTGATAAGGGTATGCATGTGACTGTGAGTATGGCTGAGAACGAGTTTTGATGAAGTAGAACAATTAACATACTAAAAATATCTAAAATATAGATATATAAATAGAATATGTTCTGTGAGGGCCAGACAAAACAAATTATAGACATTTAAAAAAAAAGGAAGGAAATGAAATGTAATAATTGAAAATATCATGGAGGGCATGGGACCAAATTGAGATAATGAATGAATGAAGAAGAGAGATTCTCAACCATGCAAATGAAATAATAGGGTTAAGTTTTTGTCAGGTTGATGGGATGGCCCCTCAGCTCTCCTTATTTATAATTTTTAGGTTTGTGTTTCGTTTCCTGACTCGCCAAGTCTTCTTGAGTCTCGTGACCACCCAAACTTATCCATTACCACCAATCCGATCGATATATATATCTATAAGCCAATCTTTCTAGTCCATGCATTCAAGATTCAACCATTAGTTGGTAGTTTTTACAAAGTATTTAGTAATTAGTGTTTATTTATCTTGTAAGAGTTATAATATTGTTTGGTGTAAGTAAGTGTGTAATACATCTTCGGGACATTTCAGAAACATGCATGCTATTGCTAGAATATTAATTATTACTATATGACACATAACGATCGATGGCTTTTCTATTTTAAAACCCATTTGAGCTATATATAGATTCTTGAATGTTGAACTATCCTTCTGACCAAAAACAAAAACAAACACAGCAAAAACAAAAAAGAGCAATGAAATATATCCATCATGGTTTCAATAGTGCCCTTCTCATTAAGTGTTCTTAGTCAAAGATTCAACTATATGTACGTTCTTCATATATATATATATATATATTTACTTTTTACTTGACATTTAATTATGAAAACAAATAATTTTTGCCATATACATAACAAATTTACTACTACCTCAACATTTTGAATTTTTTTTGACAAAATTTGTGTTGTGGCTTCGTCTGAAGAGTGAGTGCTACGATATGACGGAACCTTCAAAAAGCATTCGATCAAGAGTATTACATTTAATTTCTGGCAAATAAGGATGACACTTTTTACACTTATGCGTACAAAAAAGTATAAGAAGTTAACGTATAGATTGATATAAAACAAACAAGAAGCTAGTGCATGGCTGGCTAAAAAAGATCAATGATGATCATGCGATTCAATCTAGCTAACTTACATGTGCAACATTATCACTTTTGCTCCTATTAATTCGTACTATCATTAATATTCCATCCAATTTCCATTATAATGCATATAGTTCTCGTTATTATATATAGTAAGAAAATATAAATTTAATCAAGTATTATCCCTTTTTTCATTATTCATTGATCATAGATTCGGTTACCTACCACCCAACATCTCACATGTTGTTTTTATCTATCTTCTACCCCATCTCACCTGCTTATATTCTTGACCTAATTTGCCTTCGTTTTGGAATAGTAAACTTCTTATAAAATCTATAAAAATATTTATAAAAAAAAACTCTTTCGTATAAGTAAGTTATTGAATTGTGAATCAGAATTATTTATTTTTGTCCTAGATATTGCATGGCAAATACAAATTTTTGTACAAATAGTTAAAATATATATATCCGTTTTTCTTACAAAAGAATTATTGAGAATTGTGGAAATGAGATATTTATTTATATACATGTTAATAGAAAAACTGTTACGTAATCGTTATTATTCATTTATGAATTTATTTTCCAAAAATGCTATTTTGTCATATAATATTGTGTATTAGCGAAAAAGGTTTAGTCGTCCCACCAACAAGCATAAAAAGGGCTTTACATGTAATAAATAAAAATGGCTCAAAAACGTAATAAGATTTTGTCTTTTAGAGATTAGCACATGATAATTTGGTATTTTATATCTGTAAAACGAAACCGCACAAACATATTGTTAATAAACCAGCTTTTAGGTGAGATTCTACCTAAAAGAACCTAAACGTCGATTTCATTATATATCAATTTCTTTAAATTTTCTTTTTAAAAAAAGTTGTTTTAAGGAAACCACATGCTGAAACCAGATTGGAGCTGGCACATTCCACAGTCCACTCTAAAAGCTTTAAGATAATGGTGACGATTATTTCTTAATACTACTATTAATTATAAACTTATAATCATAACAACAACTATACAATAACTCAGATTTTCGAAATAAAAATAAAAATCGATAACGTGCTTCTACTAAACACAAAAGCTTAATGTGTAAAAACAAATATATTTTTTGTTATTGCTGACTAAGGAACCATTAATGTGTTGATATATCCATTACGTAACGAAGATCTTAGTTGTAATTTTAAAAGAAAGACCCTCGGGAAAGTTATTTTGTCAAATCTATCTAGCTATCAATTGTAAATATGTTATTTGGTTATATGCTACACCTACACTCGCCATTCACATTCCTAAGACGATCGATAAATAATTTAGTTTTTGAATGTTTAAGGCGACTGGGGTGGAAAAATCAGTTTTGTATCAAATCATCTAATATTACTAATTACAAATTACAATTCATATTGACAACCCTATAGATCAATTTCATTTGTTTCCTACTAGTAAAAAAATCCTTATACCTACTTAAATTTTCATGACTGAACCTTAATATTCGTGGGTATAATTTTTTATTTTACTAGATGCACTAACAGTTTATTATGATTTGCTAGTAATAGTCATTCAAAACCTTATATTGTTATTCTCTAGCTATCAAATGCAAAGCATATAAATGGATGTACAATGTAGACTGTTAAACATCATAAAATGGAAGGAAAATAAATGCCAATAGCAAAAAGTTTAAGACGAGACCTGAAAAATAAAACACATACAAAAAAAGCAACGACACCAAACCAAAACTTAGGTATGGTTTTGCGTCGACATCAAAGTTAGCTCTGCACATCATCTGCTGAAATGACTTGGTCAATATCTAAATCTAATTAATGTTAGGAACACTTTATTCAATAGGTCGGTTGAATTAGTTATATATGCATTCTTATTTCTGATAATTGATATTGAAATATATATAAGTATATATAATTATATATACTCTCTCTGCACTTTTATTGTATTTTTTTTTTATTTTTTTTTGGAATACTACACGTTTTAAGTAACGATTCGAGATACGAACACTTGAGTTTGTTAAATTTAATTAAGATGTACATTCACTTAAACTTAGCTGGTATGTGTAAATTAGATGATCAAACAATGATTAACCCATTTGCTTTTTGTGAAAAGAAATAATAACAAAATCTCTTTTGAAATAGATGAAATAATATCATATAATTAAGGATTTGATCAAATCATAAATAAATCGTATATTTTGTTAAAAATAGTATATAGAGCTTAAATTCCTTACATCTTTAAGAAATTTTTTAAAGTTACTAAGATATGTATATAATTTTTCTTGAAATTTATTAAATTTCGAACGTGTCCTGATTTCTACTATTTTTGAGTTTATAATTGAAGGAAAAAAATAATTAACAAAATCAAGTATACATTTTTACGAAAGTTTTTGATAATATGAAACAAGTTTGAGACAGCTCTATTTTCTTTTTGCCATCAAATAAATTAAATCCTAATCATCTTAGCTTTGATTGATGCGTTACATAACAAAATGTAAAATTAACACTAATGGGTTCGAACATCAGAATTACGACAATTCCGACACGACTCATTATGGAACAACCCAACCCGACAACACAAACACACCGCATCGCTCTGAGCTCCTCCGAACAACTCGGACCCCCACCGTCGAGTCGACTCAGCAGAGTCAACAACACTCGCCTTACGACTCGACTCGTACCGATGGTAACTCGTCGCTGCTGGTCCGACGGAGAGCTCCAAGTTGAGCACCCAGTCGCCCTCGTTCCCGAAATCCTTCTCCGACGTCGTTCCACTACTCGTACAGTTATTAAAACCGATCTCTTCCCGTAGTACCGGTTCCGGTTTAACCGGTCCGGCTAAATCAATACGCAAAGGCTCAACTACATCGTCGTTTTGAAGAGACAGAGGATGAGGAGGAGGAGGAGGCAATACAACTAATGCTGACGCAGCAGCAGAGTCGTTGATGAGACGGTGAGTGTTGGGATCGATCCCACGGCTGAGAAGCTTTCTCTTGATATGAGTGTTCCAATAGTTTTTGATCTCGTTGTCTGTTCTTCCTGGTAATCTCCCAGCTATCAAAGACCATCTTCAACAAACAAAACAGAGTTTTTTTAAAAATGCAAACTTTTTAAATATCAAATCAAAGTTTGTAAATTTGTTTTTGCGTAGAAAGAAGAGAAAGATCAAGAAGACTGACTTGTTACCGAGCAAGCTATGGAGCTTGATGATGAGTTCGTCTTCATCTTCAGAGAAATTGCCTCTTTTTAGATCTGGTCTTAGATAATTCATCCATCTCAATCTACAACTCTTACCACATCTCTGTAACCCTGCACACAATTGTTTCGTAATTCTAAATTACCAAAAAACCAAATCTTTATATATGTCTTGTACATATATATATATATGTGATAAGAGAAGTGTGAAAAGTACCGGCGGCGCGAGGGAGAGATCGCCAGCAGCCTTCACCGTGTTTACGGATGTAATCAACGAGAAGCTGATCTTCTTCTTTAGTCCAAGCTCCTTTGTTCATGTGAGCTTTCTCGCAGCATGGTGATCTTCCCATCTCTTTAAATGTTCTTCTTCTTCTTCGATCTCTATATGTATCTCTATGCGTATGTATGTATGTATGTATTTTGGAGAAATTTGGTGTTTGTATATATATTTTTTTTAAAATAATCTGGAAGGAAAAGAGAGAGAGTTCCTGTGTAGGATGATGTTTTCGTTTTGAATGTTATTTATAATAAACTTAACTAACTAACCATTATTATAATACCAAAAGTTAAAAAAATAAAATATAAATTGATCTAAGGAAATGAAGAAGAAGAATATTGTAACAACAACAAACCAGAAAAACAAATTGATTGTACACTCTCACAGGATGAACGTGCGAGTTTCCTAACCTTTTTTATTTCTTTTTTCTTTTGAGATGTAGATCGTACGGTTTTAGTTATTTGACTTTTTTTTTTTTTTGGGCTCTTTTACATCACCTGCCAAATATAATAAAGTAAAAAAAACAATCATTAAACAGTAATTTTACATTTCGACAACATTACAATTAACTGTAACATCTATATGTTTTGTAAGCATTCTTATTGCATCATTTAAAGAGAGATTTTAACTGTTTTGTTTTACTGCAGGAATGATTAATAAATAAATAAATAAAAAAGAAAGGTTAAAGAATCTAAAATTGGAGAAGATGTTAAAAAAGAAGAAGAAGAAGAGAGTAGATCTGGAGAAAGTAGGTAGATAGATTGAGGGAGAAGATGAGTGTAGGTAGGTAGCTGTCTCTTTTTTCAATCTGAGATAGAGAGAGAGTACTCTCTCTCTTCACCAATCACTCTCTTCACACGCTACTTCCTTCACGTACCACCACGTGTCCTCTCTCTCTCTTTATGATTTTTTTATTTTAATCTCACATTCTCTCTCTCCCCTCGAGATTAGATTAGTTGGATAACTGAATTATTGGTTTTTTTGCATGTGTTGTTGTTACTTTTGTTTTGGTCTTCTTCTTCTGTTTGTGTGTTCTGTCCGTTTAAAAGCTTTTTAAAACGATCGAGTTTCTTCTACTTCTTCTTACAACAACGACGGTCCAATTAAAGAAAACTTATTACGCAATAGTTGTGTAGAGTCAACATGGGATTCATTTCTTGGAAACTTTTGGCATGACATCTCGCTAAACTAAGAAAAAAAAAATGCCTTTACATCATTTAATCGCGTTACAATTCGTATAAAATGTCTTTTTTTTTGTCTTACACGTCGCATACGCATTTAGTCTTTTTGCAGAAGTTATCGAAATTGTTGTCATTAATTAAAAGAGAGTTGAATTTTTACAAAATTGATGTAATACATCTTAAGTTTTCAGAACTATAAAGTAAACAAATATTGACTTATTAAAAACTTGAAAGATGTTTTTCTTTTTTCCTTTTTTCTTCCTGATGATACCGTTGTTCTGTTTTTTTCTTTTCTTTGTTTCTTATATAAAAAAAAACGCACAATCTAACTACGGTTCAACCTTCAACATTTTCAGTTTAAACTACTAGTTCAATGTTTTTATGTGAGCCATAATAAGTTATGATTAATTAAGAAAGAAACATAAGACCAGTCATGAGCCTTCTGTTCATACCCATTAAGCATTGGGCCGTACGTTTCTTTCAAGTCCCGACATGCATGGCTAACCCCGAACAAGCTTCTTAATTTCCTCTCACGCCACTCCAATGCAAATCTTTGTACACCACTTACTATACCTCTTGTCTATGTTGGCTGAGGCAACATGAATCGAATGTCTCGTCTTGTTGTGAGTAATACTGAGTATTTACTACTTTCTACGGAAAGTTTCGTGGGAGGTCCACTTATGGTTATAGAACTGGAATCAAAGGCTCTCGCATGCACACAAAAGAATCTGATGAAAACGCGAATCAAAGAAAGATAACATTGGAAGCGCAACTAAAACTTGTGCGGCTCTCAAATTCTTTTCAACTAACTTCATCGTTATCAACGTTTAAGAAGCCTTAATGCAGTTCACATTCTATCGAAAACATAATATATCAACGACTTGTAAGTTTACATGCAAGATATATATTGGGCTGTAATATTATAGGAATAAAGACATTTTATAATGATCACAGATATATATATATATATATATATATATAACTTATGTAAGAGAAACAACAACTATCGTTCCCCTCTCTGTTCAGGCGTCAAGCCTCCCTTGCCACACTTAGGACAACTTTTCATACCAAATCCTTGACAATCAAAACATCTGCACATTTTCAAAACGCCAAGTTAGCTCTCATTGAACTGCAACATTTTTTTCAGTATTGTAGTGTTAATTAGTTATTACTTACTTCCACCTCTCAAACATATTTCCATTCTTCTTATTTTTACCTGTTCCCTGGAGGCAACAAACGATTTCTTTCGTTATCCATATATACATAGTATGCTAATTAAATGGGATTAAATCAAAGTATATACGATCAAACATACACTAAAAGAATTAATTAGACTCGCTTGAAGATATGATTAGTATGTATCTAACAATGAAGATTAAATTAGTACCTTGCAACCTGGACACTCGATTGCTCCTTTGGCTCCACAAGTCTCACAACTTTTGAATATCTGTTTTTACATAACCTTTGAAGAATTAACATAACTCTTCATTGACGATGATGATAACATCACAGTACTGTAAAAATAGATGTTCTTGATTATATATGTGGTGAAATCTTACCGAACCAAAAGAGAAGTTTCCGATTTTTCCCGCAGAAACTTTGATGGAATCCCGTCGCCCCGATACAATCTGTCTTTCAAAAGCTAGAATCTTGTGTTCTAGAGATAACTCACTACAACAAAGTGGAGCTTTCAACATTTCAAAACTGTAGGAGGAAATAAGAAGTAACATATGCATGTGGATAGTAAATATGGATGATGGTGTGGAAGAAAGCTAAAAACATTTGCTTGGTTGTGGTTTGTGGATATTGAAACCGAAACGGATTATGTGGAGGAAATATGTTGTGGGAAAGCTTCCAAATATATGGAAACTTTAAATTTGACCCACAAAAAAGTTTTTTTTTGTGTGTAAAATACACTAATGTCATAAGACCATGATTAACGGCAGTTGCTTAGGTTTTTCTTAGGTAATAAACAGATAAAAATTAAATGCTAAATCATGTAAATATAGAAGAGACGTATCTTAGTTAAGATCGAAATTTTGCCTTGAGATCGGCCATGTGTCATTCTGTGATAGGTCGAAGAAGAAGAAAAAAAAAAGAGAAAAAAACCACATCGATCGTTCTGCGTTTTCTCGTGTATCTCTCTCTTTCACCCAAGTGCTGTCGTTGGCGACGAAGAAGACGAACACAAAGCATCATCCGATCCACCGCCTTATCCGTCTTCCAGCCGACGAGACAGACCAATCTCACCATCTCCATCGACGCAGATGTCCACGACGACGAGGAGGAGGTGAAATCGGCGATGGAGAGATTACATCAGGCGAAGATCTCCAATTATAGCTCAAATCGGAGTTAATCCTTCTCATATCGGTATAGAACTGATTGAATCTCCCTCTGCTTGTTAGATTTTATGTTGTTTGATTGTGGGGAAATTAGGGTTAATGACTTGTTTCTCTGTAGATTTAGGCATGAATTCGATCCGATTTACACCTGTTGATCGACAAGATTACTTCCATGGTTTAGTAGTATTGTGATTAGTTTTTGAGTAGCTATGTCTGTAGCTATGTCCATTGGTAAATGAGAAGAGCTTTTTAGTAACAAGTCTATATCTGCTGCGCTGCAGTTTCAAATGATTAATGGCCGACTCCAATGTATTAAACTTTGGTGCAATTTTCTGCAGATCATGATTCGTGCATGAGGAAATAGTTAACCCAGAGCTGTGCTGTATTATAAAGTTGAAGATTATCATGAATTTGTTGGCTCACAACTCCATGTATCTGTCTTTGTAAAGGTTTCTCTCTATCACTTTGAATTTTGATTAGAACCAGTTCAAACAATTTCTTGTTCTTCAT